TCAATAATCAATTAGCGGTATAGCTTGTTGGAATTTCGTTTACGAGAAATTTTGTTCCGTATTGGACTATGTTGCCTACCTTGATCCTGTCCTGTGTTGATTATTCTGAATGATTCGTCTCTGAGACTGCTAGTTTGAATTTTGAAAGTGCAAGCAATGTAGCTCTTCTGTTCAATTATGTTGTTTGTTAGTGTTTACAAGAAATTCAAAAATATTTTTCACGTCAGTCACATGAAATATATTTCATACCTTTTTTTGTAGTATTTGGAGCAGGCTAACTGACCGGAGTAGTTGCTAATAAGCAGATTAAAATAACATTAAAGATAGGTTTTGTGTATCGGTATTACCCTTAAAACTCTTATTTTTTAATAACCTAAATGGAATATTTATTCTATGAATATATTTAAAAAATCGACACAAGTTATTTATCATTCCTAATTAAGGATTTACAAAAAAGAATCAACTAATCACTCTGAAACAGATCTACGTGGACAAAACATAACCTAAAATTTGATGTTTGACTTTCACTCTAAGTTTGATTTTTGTCTAAGTTCTAGTTTGATGAAGGTGAAGGTTAACATTTGTATTGTATGTATAAGTTTATTATCAACCAAGTTGAACGTTTTTATTTTATACGAGTCTTATTTTAGGTTTATTCTTTTCTAGACTAGAATAATATTATTCACAACACTGATATTAATATTTCATCATTACAAACTTGTTTCGGCCTACCCTAGTTGTAAGTTTTATGAAAGTTAAAATGTTGATCTTAACTTCTAAAAGTATTTTGATTTCATTATTTTGTAATAAAATATTTTTTCTATACTAATTTGTACTCTGAGGCTTATTTTATATCCCTAAAATGTTACACTGCTACGTCTGCTACCTAAATGGTTTGTAAAGTTTTTTGGATTTGAAACATTACTTGTTCAAGTTTTTTGAAGTCATAAAATTTCATTATGAATTGGTAGAAGTTTTAGAAATTGAGTAATTTTGTATATGTAAAACTAGCTATGTTTTGTTAATGCAAGTTTATAAATACTGAATTGAATGTTACTGCAGTGTATTATAATAATTTGTAGATTTTTAAAAATAGTACAAAAATTGATTTCTAAAAAAAAAACAGTTGGGAAATCTATGTTAAGCAGTTGGGAAATTTGAGGCTTCTCCCCCCCCCCTTGAATTTAACCAAGCAACGCCACTGAATGACTGGATACCGTAAGAGATGTATCATCGGCAAACAGACAAATGTTTGCCTTGTTTGTGCAAGTGGGCAAGTTGTTTATAAATAGAAGGAATAAGGTCGGTCCGAGGACGGAACCCTGCGGCACACCTCTCGTGACTGAGGCGTCAGCAGAACGATGATACTTTAGAAGACCTGTTTCATCGATGGCAGGGATTGCTACATACTGCTTTCTTCCTTCAAGCACAGAAAACATACTACTATAACCCAGAATGCCAACCGCATGGTAAAAAGCATTAAGTGGTTTGAGAGAGCTTTGCCTGTCAATCGTAGGCAGCGCCACCAGCGTTGCTATGCTGAGTGCATGGCAACGCTGGTGGCGCTGCCTACGATTGACAGGCAAAGCTCTCTCAAAACACTTAATGCTTTTTACCATGCGGTTGGCATTCTGGGTTATAGTAGTATGTTTTCTGTGCTTCAAGGTATGATGCGAACCAATCAAGAGCAATGCCTCTAATGCCAGCATCTTGGCACTTGGACATCATGCAACAGTCAAATATTTTGTGCAACCACTGAAAAATTATGTTTTGGACGTCGTGGCACTGAATAATATCATTATTGGATGTCGTGGCACTTGGACGTCATGCCACACTGTGGCTCCGCCCCAGTGGCTCTGTAGTTCCTTCAATTATTTTAAAAATGGCAGCAAATTTGAAAATAGGAAAACTGTGTATTTTATGGCTTTTTAGAATTTAGATGCAATTTGACTTATATTTACATTTTTGCTCCAAACTTACTCGTTTAGGAGCTACATGATGCAGAATGTACACCACAAGCCATTTTTTCTTAGTTGTAACACGCTCTGACTCCTAAACGAGTAGCTTCAGAGAAAAAATGCCAGGAATAAAAACATTTTTAAATTGGATTTATAAAAAAAAATACCGTACGGGGTTTTTCATAAGGAAATTCAAAGTTGGCAACCATATTGTAAAAGCAGCGGGAAATTTTTAAAATTGAAATACATAGGTACCTAAAAGCAACATAATGAAATCAAGGGGGTCTCCCATAAGAAGTTTACTATCACCAATTCTGGAAGTTAGCTTTTGGAACACTTTAGCTGGACACCCTGTATATTTGTTTGTTAGTATATAACTCAAACAAAAATGCTCCGACTTAAATGAAATTTAGTACTAACATGTAAACCTACATTCAAAGGAGTTTGGGAACTAGTGTGCTCGGACAAGGCCACACTAAAAAAAACAGGCCGTAATGCTCGTCAAGCATGACGTCACGATAGAAGAGGGCAATGACGTAGGTATATTTATTTATTTATTTTCCAAGGAAAGATTAAAACAATTAAGCAGCTGATCACAAACGGCAAGAATTACGTCATTGCCGTCTTCTATCGTGACGACATGCTTGACGAGCATTACGGCCTGTTTTTTTTAGTGTGGCCTTGGCTCGGACCATAGGGTTTTACGGGGGGATTTATGGGGTAAAATTAGGTTTTCTCATTTTTGACCCTCAAATAAAGTTTTCCAATTTCTTTCCTAACCATTTTTGATGAGTTTAAAAAGACAAATAATTTAGTAGCCTACCTTGAAGTGTTTTTGTACAGTTATTAGTTACGGAGACAATTTGAAAAAATTGTAAATTTATATTTAATTCCCATGTTATTATCAATTATTTAAAATGGGAACTCTTACTGAAAATAAGTTAGTAAACTGTTGTAGTTTGCTTGTTTTATGGATATATTTTGATAAAACTTGGCAAACTCATCTATTTTATACCAAGCTATTAATATTTTCTAATCGCTTAGTCTGAGCCCTGATAGTCAAGCGCCGCCGGCTGGTGTTGCCTTGTCCATTACATTCTTATGGTGGCTAGAAGGGCCCAAAATCCGTGCACCTCCAATATGTTACGAGATGATTGCATTGTATTTCAACAAATGTAATGATCTATTGAATGTTCAAGATTAATTTATATCACAGTTTATTCAATAATACCTACCAAATAACCATCCAATAAAGTATTTAAAAATATACTTCAATGTTTATTTTGTGTGGGCCCAGCCCATTTGTCCCTGTATGGAAGCGCCACCACTGGTCCTACTATACATTTAAGGGCCGGTACACACCCACCAACTTTTGTCGTGCCCCTGTACGACTCAAGAAATTGTATATCTGCACGACAAGTAGAGAAACAAAGTAGGCAATGGAAGTCGCATGGGGGTGTACACACTAGTGCGACAGCAGTCGTGGAGGTGTCAAAGTCGTGGACGACAAATTTCGAGTCGCGCCCTACACCGACTGGGGGTCCGACAGGCAAGTCGAGTCGTATGGGCTCACGACTGTTTTGAGTCGTAGCGGGACATGGCGTTATACGGCTGTCGCGTCGTTGTATACACACTAGTGCGTTTCGGGACAAGACTGTGGGGCGCCACGCTGGGAAATAATGTGTTTTGGGTGTTTAATTTTCTTATTTTGTCCCTAATAGCATCCAACAGGATGTCAAATGACATTTGCAACATTCTGAAATATCCAGAAAAACTTTTTCCCATAACTTTTCAATTCGTCAAACGATTCACTAAACAGTCCTTTTGTCCTTCTCTGAAGTAAAAATACCCCTGCCGCAGCAAACCTGCCGACTAAGCGAATTTCCATTTATCTGAATTGATTTTCAATTAAAACTATTAAAATAACATTAGGTTTAACAAGTACCTAGGTTTGCTGCTACAAGGAAACTGAAACTAATAATGTGTTTTAGTAAAATATTAATAGCTTAGTATAAAATCAATAAATTTGCCAAGTTTTATCAAAATATATCCATAAACAAGCAAACTACAACATTTTACAATATTCTCCATAAGAATAACATGGGAATTTTAAATTTACAATTTTTTTAATTTTCTCTGTTACCAATAATCGTACAAAAATACTTTTATATACTAAATTATTTGTATTTTTAAGCTCTTTAAAAAGGTCTAAAGTGAAATTGGAAAATTTTGTGTTTTGAGGGTCAAAAATGAGAAAAACCGATTTTTACCCCATAAACCCCCCGTAAAACCCCGTTCCTATGGTCCAATCATGCTAGTTCGCGAACTCATTTAAGTTTATCCCGCTTTACACCTTTAAACCAAATTTTATCAAAATCGAATAAAAATTACTCAAGTTATCGTGTTCACGGACACACATATATATACATAAATCTATATATATACATATATAAAAATTTGAACAAATGGTGTTTTTGGCCTCTGGGGACATCAAAATGAAAAATTAAATCGGTCCCGGGCTTAGGTCTTACCATGCCACCTACGGTAATAGCTACTTCCCTATAGGGAAATTCGCTAAAAGGATCTGTTTGGATACTTCATCTTCTACGTCAATGTTTTCTCCTTTAACAAGAGAAGGAGAAGGAGAACCTCTTCCTCCGGCGACATCCTCACAAATGAGTAGTCCTAAAGCCAGTAGAGTTCGCTGTTGTGTTTGCTGAGTCGTATACCGATACGACAACTGTCGTGAGGTAACACGACTTTGTCGTATGCCAGCACGACACGAACAGCCGTACTCATATGCGTCCAAGTCGGTGTGTGTGTACCGGCCCTAAAGCCAACAGCTCCGGTATACTATAAGTTAGAAGAACTGTACATTTTCTCATAACATACCTTGCAAAAAGAATATGAATATACTATTATTTTCTGGTACAAAAGATCAAGTAAACATAAATGATGAAATTTTTAATAATTTTATAAAATAAGATTTTTTTTATAAAATAAAAAGTTAAATGTTGTTCACTGTAATTTGATGAATTACAGGATTAAGAGATGGCTGACTCTGAGAATATTGTCGAGGAGGAAAATTATACCACCAAACTAACAAGACATGACAAGTCAACTAAGGCTCTGCAAGAGAAGGTAATATTTTGGCATAGTAGATCTAGCAGTGTTTTGAGAAATTGTGGTTATGGAATATGCCTGCATGCTTGCTGCAGTTACTGGTTACCTTAACAGGAGCAGATAACAAAGTAGATGCAGGACCTTCCTACACACGGGGATCAAGTGATTATACAGTTAAACTGTATTTATTTAAAACTGCTGTATTACCTAAAAATCATTTTAGCCTAAAATGTTAATTCTTCAAGAGCTACATACCAAAGCAAATTATTATTACATCAACCTTAATGGAAGAGGGTTCTGACACTTTTATAAAAAAAAAAACATTGTAAACAAATGTTTCATAACCACCAATTGTTCATGCAATTACAGATTTTTTCAATTCAATAAATTTAAAATTCATTAAAAATTTTATTATTTTACAATACAATAACAACTTTTCTGATGTAATAAGTCTTTAAGTAAAATATGGTACCTATCTCCCAATTGGTTATAAGTAGCTACATGTCACCTTCCTTCCGCCACCTTACTGCGGACATCACCACCATACCTCCATGACCACTAAAATCTTAGTTATATCCTCGCCAACAATTCACCTCCATCAACTGTATCTTCCAACGTAGATCCCAGTATAGAGATGTCTTTCATTACTTGGTCATTCCACTTGATTTGTATGAGTTATGACTTGAAACTCTCTAATCAGACCTGTGTGTTTCAATTTTGAAGAGTATACACATATTCGATCTCGCTCACTCCTAAATGATTTAAAGAATTGGCTGGAATTAGTAATAGTATTATTAATTGTGATGTCATCACGGTACCTCCTACCATGGGCGTCCATCTTACTTTTCTATGGGGAGGCCAGGTGTTGGTGCACAAAATAAACCCCAGTAAAAAGGGTGGTCTTAGGAGTACTTGAGAAAAATTATTAAAACTTGGTAACACTTTTTTAAACCTAAATTTGCTTTGTCAATTTATATGTTACTGCTTTGTTTTTTAAAATATGAATACTTACAACCTACTATGAACATTGACCTAATGTGAATCATTTAACTGTGATATTTTACTCCACAGTCTGAAAAAAATCGGTTGTTTTGGGCAGAACTCCTGGACAAAATCATAGACTAGTATGTTTTATCTATGACGAAAATCACTATTTTTTCAGATGTTCCAACAGGAAAACCTGGTTTTCCCGGTCTTGATTCCTAGTCCCCAAACGTACCTTATACTAGGAGTCAGTGGGTATGACCATGGAAGATGTTTACAACTTTAACGTGATCGTGGACAATGTACTCTATTTCACACCGACCGCAAATGTCCATGATTTCACCGCGACTACTGAAGATGTTATCAAGTTTGCCGTGACCGCAGAAGATGTTTATGGTTTTGCAGAGATCATGGATTATGTTCATGATTTTGATGTGACCGCGGAATAGGTTCTCGATCTTGCAGTGACTACTAAAAGTTTTCTCAATTCAGCCGTTACAACAGAATATGTTCTCGACCTTACAGTGACTGCGGAAGATGTTCTCGATCTTACCGTGACCTCGGAAGATGTTCTTTATTTTGCCATGACCGAGCTGAATGTTTTGATCTTGTCATGACCGCGGAAGATGTTCTCGATCTTTCCATGACCATGGAAGGTGTTCTTCATTTTGCCTTAACCACAGAAGATGTTCCCGATCTTGCTGTGACCACAGAAGATTTACGGTTTCGTTGAGATCTTGGAGTAGCCTATGTTCATGATTTTGCCGTAACAACTGAAGATGTTATATATCTTTCTGTTCTTTTTGAATTTAGAATAGATATCATGAACAAACTGCATGATGGTCATTTCGGGGGGGATGACACAGTCCTCCGAGCGGCAAAATCTGTGTTTTGGCAAGGAATTACAACAGAAATCCAAAACTTGATTGACAATTGTGACACTTGCGCTAAACACCAAAACCAGATGTCAGAAAAGATTATTCAATCAGACACTCCTGACCATCCATGGCAAAGAATAGCCGTTGATTACTTTGACTTTGTGAAAGGCAAATACACATTATTTACTTTATTTACATATTATTTACTTGGCCAAGGGTGCCCACAAGGGGGGGGGGGGTGTGACGCAGACTGTGTCATTGAAATTCTTGGGGGGGAGGTTCAATTTAAAATTATTGATTAAATTTAAACTGGTAGGAGGCATGGGCTTCCATCCATATCCTATCCATCCTTTGAGACCCTACCAGGGTGACCATACAGTCTGAAAATTCTGTTAAGTTTGCGTAAATTTATTGAATCAGGAACTAAATGAGAATTTTGAACTTGCACTGGGAAAACCTTTTTTTGTCTGCGGTCACGGTAAAATTACGATCTTCATCCGAGGTCCTGGCAAAATCAAGAACATGATCCGCCTATAAGGCAAGATAAAGAACACCTTCCGAGGTTACGGCAAAATCAAGAACACCTTCCGCGGTCACGGCAAGATCGAGAACATCTTGCCCGGTCGCGGCAAAATGAAGAACATCTTCCCAGGTCACGGTAAGATTGAGAACTGTTAAAGCAATTTCAATAAGCCTGCTTATAATGTCATATAAATCATGAAACATATGACATTATTTATAATGTGTAATTGTTCAGTTTTGTATTGGTGTTGTGTTCTGTTCTGTCTATTAAAAGTTAAATTTAATTTCCAAACAAGTCTTAAAGTTTCCTACTAATAACAGGTTATGGGCCCAGTACGCTGGGCCCAATTCAAATGGGATCATAATTCTTCTTTATAACATATTAAGTCTTCTATTAGAGATAGGTAGTCTTTTTAAGGTATACCACTTTCTCATGCTCTCTGGACATCCTTCTTGAATTCAGGCCATCCATTTTCTGTATATTTCACCAACATCTGACATTCTTCACACAGGATCTGGGCATTCGTTATTTGTTCCAATCTTGACTGTGTTGCTGGAAAGTTTAAAGATACAGTAGAACCTCTTTAATCCGAACCCCCGTAATCCGAACGTCCACTAATCCGAACCCCTCATTGCTGTACTCTATACACAGTACAGCAGTTCTTTATTGTATACTGTATTTAATTTACAGTTTACTGTTTATTCACCATGTTTACTACTGTATTAAATAAACACTGTATTTTACTTTATAAAACATTTTTTTACTTTCCCCAAAATAATGTTGATCAATTTTAGCCATGTTTTAGCTATTGTTATGTAAAAACAACAATATGTTCTGTAATCCGAACTATTCAATAGTCCGAACTACCCCTGGTCCCAATTAGTTCAGATTAACACATTCACTGCTAATGATATGTAATACTTTTATAAATGGCTAAAAAACATAAACATTAACATGATCATGTTAATTGAGTGACAATATATCTTTAATTAAATAAATTTTATACTATAAATTGTGGATTAAAATATATTATGTAATTATATACATCATGTATTATATATCTGCTAATATACTTATGACGCACAAGTGCGTCATTAGCAGTAAACGTGTTTTAAAGAGGTTCTACTGTATTACCTTAATATGTGCCTCTACCTCTTTTGTGAACTCATCCGTGGAGTCTAGGATCGGCGCTCGGCTTAATGTGTCTGCTGCAAACATTTCTTTTACGGGAATGTGTTCGATGGAGTAGTCAAATTTCATCAATCGCATTTTGCATCTCTGAATCCTAGCTGGTGTGGCATAATGGTGCCACGTTTTGGTGACCTGGTCATGTGAATCAAATTCCAGACCAAATCGTTCTTGTTGGAAACGTAAACTGAACACATTTATTAATGCAGAGGAGACAATTTACCGCAAATCACAGGCCCTAATAGTCAGCTTTGATGATTGTTTGATTAATTAATGCATTTATATCACAGAAATATGTACATTGTTCAACTTATGAAATAATTACTATATTACTTGACTGGACACAACGTGAACTGATATTTGATTTTAAGACGAATAATACATACTGGAATGAATGATATAGTGAACTGATACCTTGACCTGAAATTACATATTACAAAGTACTAACACTACGACACAATACCTCAAGGGGGCGTCCCCCCGTTTCCCACTAATTTAGAGATCCATCCTTGGCGGCACCAGACACACGACAGACGTTTGGTCATTCCTCTTGGCCCGCCTGCGGCCTGCGCATGCGCGAGCAGCTCTGGGGTCAAGACTAGGCGGGACATTTGAATACTGGTTGTGTTGTGGAGATTGACACCACAAGATCTCCCCCCCTCCCCCAAGCAGCAAAAAAGGAAGAAAGGGTGACCTCCATGGTTGGGGTGTCACGTTGGTCCATTAAAAAAAAAATATATATATGCTGTTGAACACAAGTAAATTAATATAACATATAACAATAGTAAATATACAATAAATAGTAACAAATAAATATATTACACAAAAATTTGAAACATGAAATATAATGAACTCCGGTAACTGGTGTAATGTTGTGTGAGTGTATGTGTGAAAGTGTAAGAGCTCTTGCTTTCCTCCTTCCACAAGTCACAGTTTGCAGGTTCGAGCTGTTGAAATTAAAAAAATTAAAATAAAGGTTATGGCTCGACCGCAAATTTCAAAAAATATAAAAAATTAGCTAACCTGTGACTGTGTCTGGAGGTTGGCGTGTGGTTGTAAGTGTAAGTGTGATGCTGTCGGGGCGAGCGACACACTGGCGACCGCTACTGTAGATGACACCTCAGAGAAGTGACACCCTAGACTCAGTGCGCTTCGCCAGTGTGGATGCCGGCGACAGGTGTTAAGTGTGGTGTGAGGGTGGTGGTCTTACAAACTAACTAACCTAATATCACTGGTGCCTGTGTGCGGTTTCATTTTGATACGTGTGCAATGCGGCTTTTGTTTTGGTCGTGTGTCATTTTTTGGGGTGAAAAAAGGCTTTCAATTGAGAGACATGAGCTCTCCTAACTGTTTTCCCTGACTTTGGGTCTACTAAAATTACAGTTACTGGTGATGTGAAGGCTTGAATTATTAGGGGTTCGGACCAAACTGGTAAAAGTTTAGCA